GAACAAAAAAAAAAAACCTTTTTTTTCTTTTTACAACCACTTTACGTTACATAAATTTCACGTGCAGATCCACCTTTTTTCCTCGTTGCAGTGTAGTGCACAAAACAGAAACTCTTTTTTGGTTTACACAGGTCTTCTTGCCTCAGCACATACGGACACACAGACACAGACACACGCACACAGGCCCCTTTTTCTCCCTTCTCAGAAGGAGTTGATGTCGAAATCAGCCAACAGATCAACCAAAATAACAGTTGGAGACAACTTTAAACAAATATCACAGCTGCAGCAAAAGAACCTGTATCCCGTCGAAAATTTCTACAATGGCAGTAGCATCGGCATCAACGCCGACAACTGCTATTACTGTACACAGAAAACCGATACAGATATCATGTTGTTTCTTTGCCTCCTGTTGTTTCTTTCATTTTTGAACAGCAAAGTTACGTAAAAGTTGTTGTGTTGTTGTTGCTGTTGTTATTGTTTATGCTGTTGTCTCATCTTGTTGCTATTGCCGTCATTACTCTTACTGTTACAGCTACTGTTGCTGCAGTTGGTGTTAATACTGTCGGTTGAGTACAGCAATGGCGAAAATAACCTGTTAGAAGAAAATACCACTTTTCAACTAATCTATGTTGTTTTCAAGGAACGGTCTTCTTTGTCGGTTTACTCCTCTCTTTCCCTGTAGACCAACAACTAATTGTTTCCCTACGTTTCGTTCCTTCACCTTTTCTTTACTTTTAGTTTCCATGAGCAGCCACAAAAAGTAGCCAAATTACTCAGGACATTTTCAAGTGCTTTAAAGAACAAAACAAAAGAAAAGAAAAACAGCAGCTCGTTTTCTCTTCATTCTCCTTCATTCCTTTCTTTCCTGCCTACCAGAATTGCGGTTTTTAAAATCCAGTGATGGCAAAAAAAGTAATGTAATTGGTCCTTTTGAGAAAAAGCAAAAAATAAAATACCAATATTAAAATGAAATAAAATGACTGCGAAGGAATAGGCGAAAAAAAGTTAAAAGTTGTGTAAAAAATCACCCAAAACACAACGACACTGACAACAACAACAACAACAACAACAACAACAACAACAACAAGCAACAAAATTAACTGACGACCATTGACAACCCCCGTAAAAGTTTAAGTTCGCTTCACCTCTCCGTTTTTCACCTCCCAACCCGAGTTTTTTTTCAGCAGAAACCAAGCAACACCATTGCACACACTCATAAGCACAAATTCACTGATCTTTTTCTTGAAGCTCCCTACAAAGGTTAACCTGTCTTGCATAGAGTCACATCTTTATCCTATCCTATGCAGCTCCACGTCAAGCCCCTCCCTCCCCCTCACTTCGTTTTTCCCTACTTTGAGCAACCCAATCTTCCGAAGTCGAGCAACGGTTTCACCAGCATCAGTACCCGTCACCATTGTCACTGCAAGCACCAGGACCGCTATCATCATTACCGACGACATCACCATGATCAACGCTCCATCCGACAACGACAGCAACGACAACGGCAACAAAACAACAACAATAACAAAAACAACAACAACAACACCAGCAGTACCACTACCAACCATCTTCTCTGTCATTTTTTTCCCAGCCCCAAAGTCGTAAATTTTTGAGCATGAAGACGGCAAAGAGCATGGGCGGTCTTTTAAGGCACCACATTCAAATCTTGGCTTTTTAATTTTTTTCTTTTTTCTTCCATTCTGCTCATCTAAACGCCACACAATTCTATCCCGTGTTTTTAAATTTCTTTTGTCGTCTAGCAATCAGTCAGTCTACTGTCTCATTTTTTGTTTTGCACTTTATGTGCAAATTTTTTGACCGTAACAGTTTTCACTGGTGTTCTCTGCACTCAGTGTGCACTCTAGAAATGCTATAGGAAAAAGACCAGCCCCTCTTCGACTCCCTTTTCACGCTTGGACATTGGCATTGCAGAGCGCGTGTCGATCGGTTTCTTCTTTACTACCATTTCTGCTGCATCGGATACTTTCTAAATTATAACACTTTGGGAAAAATCATGCAACAAAATTCATTGATTTGCATTGATCAGCTTATATCTGCCGCTAATTTTATTGAAAAAACGGCTTCAAATTCTTTGAATACGACGGTTATTTCACAACATTACCTTCGTAAGTTTTTCTTCTAACTTTTTTTTTATTGCACCACTTTGCTGTTTTTCTCTGTTGTTGCTGTCACAACTAGCTTTCAATTTTTTCTTGAATTTTATTTCTTCTTCATCCCATCACTTTAACGGGCATTCAAATTTGATGTTGTCCTTCTTACGGGCACTGATCTTAAGAGATTGATCAAAAACAAAACATCAAAGAATCAGGAGGGGTTATTCTGCCTAGCGGTGGTGGTTTGGTTGGCCCATGGCAAGTTTGTTGATTAACTTCAAAATCATTTTTGTACATGCTGCTCTTGAAAAAAAGTTTTTTGTTTGTTTAAATTAATATTATGCTTATGCAAAAAAGAATTAAACAGTAAAGAGATTTCATGTGAAAATTTTCAGTCTGTGGTGTCAGCAATGGTTCATTTAATATTATTTTATTGTCTTGTCTGTTTTTTATCTAGTTGTATCTTTCATTTTCTTTCCATTTTTTGTCACACTTTATTTGCTCGTCTCCTTCCCATCTATGGAACTTTTTTATTTTGTAATATATCTGCCAGGTAACGGTAAGAATATTTTTATAACAGAGGATATAAAAACAGAAATAACAGAAAACAAAAAACCAAACCAAAGGTTAGTTGTATGGCGAAAGTTTTTGTAGAACCTGGTGAAGAAGATAAACGGGAATTCTGTGCTGGTAAACAACGGGTTTTTGTTCGTAAAACTTGTCCATCGGCTTCAACGTCAACGTTTGGTTGCAACAATTTGCGTACATCGGTGTCGACAGTATTAGAGGACGGTCGAAGACCATATTCAGTCGTCAATTCTAGGCATAGTCGGTAAGTGTGAAGAGGATTTCCTCTTTTTTCGCATTGCTGATATATTTTGCGTGTTTTTTATGCGTGATTTTCTGTTTTCACTGATGTTGATGGTTCTTCTTTTATATTTATTTATTTTTTTCTATGCTTTTCCGTCCCCTCAGCTCTCCACTCTCCGCCTAGTTATTCCCTTCTCCAAATTCTTTATTCGCGTTGTTCTGTTCTGCGTTACCGTTGCAGGAGGGAATACGAACAATTTTTTTTTCTTTCTTGTATTTCACGTGCGAATCGTTGAT